GTGTCTTATCAAGTGATGATGTTAATCATCATCACTTGATAAGACACCGGAGCTGTTGAAACAAAATGGTTATTTTTATAGTGATTTTATAACATATTTATGTTATAATTTTTAAATAAATAATTATATCTGCTCTACTCTGTATTGAGCACTATTTTAAGAATAGTAATTTTTGGTTATTGGAATTTATTCCGTATACACCAAACTTATACTTGATACATACATATATATATATATATATATATATATATATATATATATATATATATATATATAATTTAAAAAAAATATGATTCCTTCATACATAAGAGTTCTCATGTTTCAAGAACAAGAGCCAAAAACCTCAATATAATTATTCAAATTAAATTGAAATAAAGTATCAAGCGTTGTTTCATCCGCAAGCGGAAATTTAGGAATAACCAATCTTGAAATTTACGCTTAAAGCCGTAAATCTCATCTTCTTTTTGTGTTAATTTATTTCCCTGGAAGGAAAAAGAATGCTTTCCATCTCATTCTTCTTATTAATTCCTCTGTTTTTTGCAAAAGTTTAACGAAATAATTCCATTTGTTTGTGTGTGGAATGTTCTTCAGAAAAATGCCGAAATTTACTTTTTCCATATTTTTAAGTTCTACTTCTCTATGGAGCACTCTTTTTTTTACAAATAAAAACAAAAATACTAAAAAAACTCCGGATTATTTACCTAACGTGCTCTTTCCTATTTTTCTATATATTTACACACACACACACACACATATATATATATATATACAAGTATATAATTGGTATATACGGAATGAATTCCAATAACCAACAATTACTATTCTTAAAAGAGTGCTCATTTTCTTTTCAACATCATCACTTGATAACGTAATTTCAATGAAGAAATGAATTGAATAAACATATATATTTTTTCTTTTCTCAATAATTTTGTAGTTTTTAAACTTAATAGTGATTAAATTTGGATTTTAAAATTGCCAGTTTTTAATTTTAATATTAAATTTTATCATATAATTTTATAATTATTGGTTAGTGTAAAGTATTTTTAATATTACACGTATTTAAAGATCTGAATAGCTATTATAACATGATTTCGTTGTAAAGCTTTTGAATGTTTCTATACTTCATTTTTGATTGGTTATTCTAGCTTTTGTAACAATGTTTCCCCCTAGTGTAGCATCGTTAATTAATCTGAAACTTTTAAAACCATTTATTTTATTTTCAACATCATCACTTGATAAGACACAGAGTGTGTTGAAACAAAATGGCTATTTTTGTAGTGATCTTATAACATACTTATGTTATAATTTTTTTATAAAAATAATTATATCTGCTCTACTTTGTATTGAGCACTCTTTTAAGAATAGTAATTGTTGGTTATTGGAATTCATTCTGTATATACCAATTATATACTTGATATATATATATATATATATATATATATATACATATGGCAGTAGGGCTAAGTTTAATCGCCTTGAAAAGGAACCCATTATCATATAATGGTCAATGAAAAACAGAGTAAGAAAAAAATCGATTAAATTTTTAAAATAGCTGTTTACTCGTTACTACAATTCTATGTCAAGAATATGATATCAGACAGTAAATTCAATCCTAAAACCAAGTTGCTTGGCGAGTGTAAGTCATCTATGCAAAACTCTGTGTACGGATAATATAACTGAAATTTTCGTTTTAGTTATCTCTCTCCCACGCTCATATATATCGAACCCAGAAAAGCAAGATTCAACGCTGTATTGGCTTCAGGTTTTCAACAAAAAAAAAAAAAAAAAAAAAACATCGATCAATAGCTTCATCTCCAGCAAAGAAACTTGGCTCACTGTATCGTGCCAGCACTTTTTCTCGTCAGAATCCATCTTGCACATTTACAAATCTACCATTCATCTTGCTGTACATCACGAGGTTCTTGACAATTCCAAAGAACTATCTGCAGTGTAAAGTGATCCTGATCAGACAACTCGACTACAGTCACTTTTTCGCCGATGTGAGGAGGCTTCCTTCTTTTCTACGGATATGATCATGACAATACTTCTGTTGAGCTTTTTTCCCTAATACCCCGAATACATGAATTTAAGCGTTCATCTTTGTCCCACTATTTTATTTGTGAAATAAATAAATGCAACAGACATTTTTAATCAAACAGGTTCTGTTCTCGCATTTCTCACCTGTAGAACTGCTTTCCGTTTAATTCTTCCTTGATTACAATCTTCAGAAAATTTAAATGCAAGGTCAATCACCTTTTGTCTTCATGAAATCCGTTCATATTTTATCCTTTCCTCAATCCTCTCTAATCTCAGTCTTCTCCCTGACGTTCACTCCCTGTAACTAGTGCATTACAGGCGAAATTATACATACATACATATATACATATATATATATATATATATATGTGTGTGTGTGTGTATCATAAATAAGTAATTCATCGAGTCTAAAAGAAACATCAACAGAAAACACTGAATGACCGTTTCGCCCTATATTTGAGAATCATCATCGCATCCACTACCGAGAATTGAAACCCGTACAGTTACGGTATGAGGCAAACGTCATACCAACTGTACCTCGGTGACGTCGTGGTAACGATCTAAACTCGATATAGCGTAGCTATATGCTAGGTGTAACAGCAAAGTTGTCCACTTGTCAGATTAAGCTTTGGGACATTGTATCTTAGAAATGATTAACGATAACTTACTGGAATTCTCCGAGATTTTTATAACACTGTTGAATTCTACTTTGAACCATAAGAATGTATTTCGTCCTAAGTTGAAATGAGTTGCTGTTGTGACCTCCTGATCCAGTTTTCCTCCCTACTATTCCCTCTTTTTCGAATTTATTCACCACTCTCTTGATGGTTCTTGAATGGACTTTGAAGATGGAACCCAGAGTATGAATGATCTTTTTTCCTTTCATCATTACTCATTTGTGAAGACACCATGGGGTTGACAGAAGCTGATTTTAACCTGTTTTTTTTTTTCTAACTGAATAACTGAAAGGGGTTTGCAATGATTCCCAGCACAGCAAATGGTATCAAGTCGCCTAAACGTCTTATCTGAAAAGCTGGAAAAAAGATACTGAGTTTTTTTGTTAGATATTAAACATTTTATGGTAGGCCAATTATCACATGCTGTTGTAAGATTTGATAAGTTTTCCTGTTACCCCTGGTATATATCACTTTAAACGCTATTTTAGTGGATAGAAGCCAGTTTTTTTTAAACAGTATTTGTTTCATTATTTCCACTATCTACATTAATTTTATTGTCCTCATCTTTGTTATAGTTATCACAAAGTTTCGACATTTGTAGCCTTCAGCCTTCCTCAGGAGTATTTCAATCTGGGTACCCTACAGAGAATTCCGAACTCTACCCTTCATTTAATCTATGGAGGTAGACTGTTCGTCTTCAATTGTTCATGCCTAGAAATTTCGTCTAGTTATCATTTTATTTAGCAGTTCTCAGTTATTGCTTGCTCGTTACCGCTGATTGCAAGCACACACTACCGACACGATCCAACCCCACCACCACCCCACCACGATGTCACCAAATTTGCAAACGGACGTTTTTACCCATTAGGACATAGGAAATTTGCTGGTGTGAACTTAGAGCTTTAAACATTACCTTCGCTGCTGATTAGGCTGCCACTGATGCTGTTTCTACTGCTGATGTTTTCTCTCATATTTTGACTGCTGCTGCTGCTCATGTTTACTGATTCTGATGCTGCGGTTGAAGACGTGTTTTCATTTTTCTTTCTTTATTTATTAGCAGCTCGGCTCCTATATTTTATTTATTTTTATGCTAGGCCGATCAAAAAGGTCCTTATATTCTAGCATATGGGATGTGATCCGCAGTTATACAATACAATCTCTGCGACATGAGTCTAATATGACCGGGGTTCACACTGGCGCGTAAATGAAGGCAGTTCTAAATTGGCTGTAAGTTTTCATTAATTCTTAGCTGAATTGATTAGATATAACTGTAAGTTCTATGCTCAAAGTTTATTTATCGAATTGTATGTTGGGCGATTTGATCAATGGAAAAGTGACCCAGCCTTGAGAGTCAATGTGTGATTGACGCACAGCCTCAAAGCAAAAAAATTCATTTTTTCTTTTTAAGCGTTTCAACCCAAGCAAGGCGAGAAGCTACTAGGACGCAAGGAGTTACAGCAAATTTGGAGCAAGTTCAGATAGGAGTGATAGAAAGAAAGGATGAGGAGAAGGGCAGTGGATAGATCAAGGCAACTGGAGATGTCGATTGACATTACATTTGAATAGCTGGAGATTATAGCTCCTAGGGAAACTGGAATAAGGAAGGAAGTTCCACAGGTGAAAGGTGCGAGACATGAAGCTATTGGAGTAGAAGAGACGGCTACATTTAGGAGTTTCGACAGTGAAAGGGTGAGAGCGGGATGCCAGCCTCGTAGGGCGCTTGAAGTCATGAAGTCTGGGAACCAGCGAATGCAGCTCCACGGAGCAATTGCCATGAAAGTATTTGTAAAACAGACAGAGAGAGGCGACGGCGCGTCTGTGAGAAAGTGACTGTAGACGAGATGCCAGAGCAGGGCCAACTGTATTGCATATCCGCCTCTGGAGCCTATCAAGAACCTCCAGACTATATATAGCAGCAATACTCCATTCAAAGGCGAATTGTTGATTTGTAGATTTGAAGGATCGATTCCGGGGAGAAAAATTTCCTGGCGCGGCACAGGGAGCCAACTTTCCTTGCGGTGGACGAAGCAATTGACTCAATGTATTTGTTTCATCTCAGGCCAGCCGTCAACGTGAGACCGAGTTCGCCAAACAAAGGATTTGAGGTTGAATAGAGGCAGTAAGTGGCTGGATAGGCTACAGGCGCTCACTGACAATGTTGGTGAAGAGGGAATTCCCCAAAGTTATGACGTAAACCGGAAGGGATTCACCGAAATGTCCCTACCTCACAAGAATCCCATGACAGTTTTAGCGAAATTTCCATAAATACGAATGCGCGAAGCCAATTCACCAGAAGAGAGAGAGAGAGAGTCTGGAAACAGGACAGAAGAGAGAGAGAGAGAGAGAGAGAGAGAGAGTCCGGAAACAGGACAGAAGAGAGAGAGAGAGAGTCTGGAAACAGGACAGAAAAGAGAGAGAGAGAGAGAGAGAGTCCGGAAACAGGACAGAGAGAGAGAGAGAGAGAGAGAGTCCGGAAACAGGACAGAAGAGCGAGAGAGAGAGAGAGAGAGAGTCCGGAAACAGGACAGAAAAGAGAGAGAGAGAGTCCGAAACAGGACAGAGAGAGAGAGAGAGTCCTGAAACAGGACAGAAGAGAGAGAGAGAGAGAGAGAGTCCGGAAACAGGACAGAGAAGAGAGAGAGAGGGGAGAGTCCGAAACAGGACAGAAGAGAGAGAGAGAGAGAGAGAGTCCGAAACAGGACAGAAAAGAGAGAGAGAGGGAGAGTCCGGAAACAGGACAGAAGAGAGAGAGAGAGAGAGAGAGAGAGAGAGAGAGAGAGAGTCCGGAAACAGGACAGAAAAGAGAGAGAGAGAGAGAGAGAGTCCGGAAAACAGGACAGAAAGAGAGAGAGAGAGAGTCCGGAAACAGGACAGAAGAGGAGAGAGAGAGAGAGAGTCCGGAAACAGGACAGAAAAGAGAGAGAGAGAGAGAGTCCGGAAACAGGACAGAAGAGAGTGAGAGTGAGAGAGAGAGAGAGAGAGAGAGAGAGAGAGAGAGTCCGGAAACAGGACAGAAGAGAGTCCACGGGATTGCCAGCCGAACAGAAACACCGACTTCAGCTTTGTGCCGAAATTTATCAAATCAGCAAACCAGATATCTGCCAGGTCGACGATAGTATCACTTCCAATTTAGATGTGGGCTGGGCTGATAATTAATTGCGTGCGAACTCTGACATAAACAAATTAATGTATTGAGACTATTATTTACTTTTGCTCTATTTCTCCGCTTGTTATTTTTTCTTTGTACGTCATCGCCCTGCTTGGACAAGCCGAACACGAAAATACCTGCAATGATTCGGTCTTGGCAGCCTTATGATCTAAAATTCACAACGTGGGATAGGGTAGCTCTGGAATGAATCGGTCAATTTTGTGGCCAGCCGCGGTGTTGGAAGTCTTGGACGACCGTCTGGGTTGTGTACACGTTTAAAATACTATATAAAAAAAAAACAAGCTAATCACGTCAAACTACAACACAAGGGATTTTGTATTCAGCGATTGACAAATTTTATTTAGTATATATTTAATTTTTTTTTCATATTTTTCCATCAAAAGGAGTAGATATATTCGTTATATTCCGATTTATAATCATCCCAAGTCTTTTGAATTGCACTAGCTGTTTACCCCTTGCTTCTTGTTTAGGATTTGGTTTCCGGTTCCTTCTAAAGTCGTCTTTCCTTCCCAGTAGCCCTTGAGTCTTAGTGGCATTATTGCCCTGTTTGTGGTGAGTTGATTAAAAAAAATATCTTGATAATCCAATGAGTGACATTACTTTTTAATACCATTGTCACATATTCTAAGCGTTGCACGGCCATCACTCGAATATATTTTTATTTGTAGAGAATAACCGTCACTTCGGAAGCAAATGGATTTTCTTTATTCTTTAAAATTACCCGGTATAATTTAAACGGGTCTGTGTTGTTTTTGTGAGATGGCATAAATTTTAGCTCCAGAACGCTTTATCTCGTTTTTATTGGCGATTTATTTTTTATTGTTTAACATTTTAAAATCATCAACGATCCTCTTTGAGAAGAGTTGATAATAAAACCAGCCGCTTGTAGAGGATTTGCAACACCTTTTTCTTTCTTTCATCGACCGTAATTTTCAGCTTGTCTCCGCTACTTCGTGCTATTCTTAAGTTTATTACCATTGAGAAATCGTTTAAATAGAGAAAATAAGAGCAACTACATGATTTCATGAACGGGAAGTGGTTTGTATATTGCTAGAAAAAAGAAATAGTCATATCAGTCTGTTCATGTGTGGGCGATATTTAGTAAATTGTGGTGAGAGATTTGGAATATCAATTCCGAAACCGAACTGCGTCTGTATTCCTAGAGAACTCGCCTTTTCTATATTTTGGAATTCAGGTTTTGTTCTCGGTTCGAACACCAAACGTAAGGACCATTTTCAAATATATGCGTGTGACTTAATCTGCTTGGTTTTCTTACGAAAATATTCTGTACAGAGGTGGCCATTCATTGTTTTAACAGGAAGGGCTGCTCGGCGGGAATACACCGATTGGTGACACATTGTATCATGGTTGTTATTGTAGCGACACAATGAATGTGATACACAATGACACGCGTCTACCTGAAATATGAAGCATTGTATTAAACACGGGGGTCAAGGTTGCAGTGTATATCATTCATATTCCCTAGATGAAATTAAGTACTTCGATTCATTTTCTTCTTTATCGCTCTCTCTCTCTCTCTCTCTCTCTCTCTCTTACACACACATATATATATACAAACACATATATATTGTGAGTATTTAGGCAGCATTTTTTCATTGATGCATGTTTCATTAAATAATATAGACAAGTGTTGCCTATTTTATGTAAGTTCTTTTTATATCATCTGATAAGCTTAATAGCATTATCATTAAAAGTAGAAAAAATCACAGTATTGATACATATTTCTTAGTCCTATCTAAGCTTTCGGCTTACATAATCCATTATCAAAGATGACAATGACGTTACAATATATTAAACAATACACGGACAAAACAATAATAATAGTCTGTTTTTGTTCCAAGCAACGACAAATCGTGCATAGGAGACGCTGGAAGCGAAAATCAAACCGCAGCTCATAACGTCACACATGACCAGGCGAGAGTGAAAACGAGAAGGATTAAGTGTGGGGAGCCGGTGGTATTAACCAGTGGCTTCTTTTACCAATTATAGGCTCTAAGAATATTTGCGGAGATTTCATAGTTTTTTTTGTTCAGGTTAGGTTTCAACAGCTTTATGTATATAGCTTCAAGAATTTTTAGTTTTGTTTATTGTTTTCATGTTTAAGTATAGTTGTGTTTTCAACGAGGATTTTCCAGAATTGTGTATCCGGCCAGACATGTTGTTATATACAGACATATATATATATATATATATATATATATATATATATATATATATATTGATAGAATTTAGGAGGATTTTAGATAATCATAATTAAGTAATTCATCGAATTTAGAAAAAAACAAAACTGAACAGATTGCAGAAAGCACTGAACAGCCGTTTCGTCCAATATTTGAGACTCATCAGCAGTGCGCATCCACTAACAAGAATTGAACCTGGACCGTTACGAAACGACGCAAGCGTCATACCAACAGGCCTCGGTGACGAAGTGATAACGAATTTGACTCGATATAACGCTGCTCTTCAAAAATTCCGTGGCGTAACTCATCCGAGTTTTCCTTACCCATAGTAGTGTGCCCCCCCCCAACGAACCAAAAGTACTATATATATATCTTGGGATTATACATACGGATTACCAAGATTTTCTTTACTATATATATATATATATATATATATATATATATATATTGCGTCATCAACAGACAGACTATTTCGCTGTATTACAGCTCATCAGTGTGACTAGACGTCCGGTTGCCTCTAGCTAGGATCGAAACCTGGCTGAATTGGCGAATAAGCTGTTGGCGCACGGCAGGGGTGCAGGTGAATTTAGACGTATTTATTTGTAGATAAACACAGAGAGAGAGAGAGAGAGAGAGAGAGAGAGAGAGAGAGAGAGAGAGAGAGACTGAGACTGAGAGAATTCAATTCGCTTTACCGAAGAGTCTTGCATCATTAGCTGTAATAGTCACTGTCTACAAACTCACACTTCCTCCCCAGTGAGCTCAACCGAATCAAATTTTTCAGGAGTATATATATATATATATATATATATATATATATATATATATATCTGTGTGTGTCTATATCTGTGTGTATATATATATATATATATATATATATATATACTGACCTTAAACTTCTTCATAATTCAGATTTTATTCAAAAGTTTATTAACAACATACATACACTAAATAGAGGTCATTAATTTTCGATGACACTTCTAAGATTTCCCCAACATTATGCAATAGATGGTGCTTGGAACTTTAGCCTCAAACCAATAATTATTTCTTGTCTTGATGCATGGTTTAAATCCAAAGTTTGGGGAGGGAAAAATTATTACTTCAAGGCCCTTTGGCAACTTTTCGGTTTTTATAATCATTAGGCAATAAAAAATAATTCGTATTGTTTTTTCCTCCTAACTATAAAGATTTTGATTAACAATTATTTATTGTCGTTTTATAATACTTTAAGACGAATTGGCAGCATAAAATAGTCGATTTAGAAACGGTTCTTTTCTGTATTAAATTCTTCTTTTTCCATTTAGGACGTGGGCGACCATGACTCTCCCCAACTTCCTCGCCTTTGTAGCCCTTTGTAAAGATTTCTTTTTACGATCTCTTCTAATCGTTGTTCTGCTAATAGTTTACTCTGTCCGTCTTGCTTTTAGTAAGTCCTGTGAGTTGTCAAACTTTCTAAACCGTCTTTCTACATTATTCATACTAGAAATTCCAGCTTTTATCTTTCTGATTCTAAATATAGGTGGCTATTTCGTTTCCAGTTTCTCTAAAATTCGCTCAAATATTCGATCCATGCTATTCTCAACGTACTTCTGGAGAAACATATTTCTATCGCTTCAAATCTCATCAACCCTCTGTGATGAGGTGGTTCGGCATTTACCGCCATATAGGAGTACCGGTAGTACGTAACACTACGGTACTCATTTCTTTATTTCCAATGAAATTTCCTGTTTCAACGGTTTTGGTGTCATTTTTCCCCCATTTCCGCTAAAACTTCGAACTTGCTCACATGTTCAGTGCTTGCTATTCTAAGAATCTTTCTGTAGAACCAAATTTATGTTGCCTCAAGTCTCTTCATCTGTCAGGACATTGCGCTGCGTTCACAACCATATAGGTGGACTACAGCGGAGTAATGGATAGCGGTTCGGGTTGGGGAATCGGAGAGCCGAGTTCAAATTCCAGTCAAATCCATTCACTTACGTGCCAATAACCTTGTGAAAGATATGAATCCTCTTCTTCTCCCCACCCGACAGCTCTGGGTAAATGGCAGGACAGACCAGGTTCAACTGGTCAACTGCAGAAAGAAATGGCAACCTACTTCGAGGAAAAAATCTGCCTCGTCAGTCATGTATCGAAAGGTACATGATCACCTAAGCGTGTATCACGCATGGTACACGACTGACTGATATCAAATAACTGTTCATTTTACTTTTCTTTGTTATGAAAAATCTTTTCTGTTTCTTAATAATTTGTTTAGGTTTTAAGAGTCATCTTTCGCTCCCCCAGTGGATCTTCGGATTTTACTGTCGTCCGTATTTTAAAACACTTTGCAGATATTTAGATTTATATATTTGTTTAATTTTTCTATGTCTAATTTTTCATTCGCATGTTGGGATCTTACTTTTACTGACAAATATACATTCCGTCTTCTCAAAGATGATTTTTAGTAATTTCTTCTCGATTTCCTTTGAGATCCTGAAGATTCCTTTTTGTTTGCTATCGACACTGTGTCAACAGCATGTCTCATGTTGCTATGGTTGTGTCCGCCAATAATTAATCCTGGTAGATCATCTAGATCTATGAGGTTTCATTGTTTAAAATACACTTTCCAATTGTTTGTCGGTACATGGAAATTTTGAAGCTTAATCCGATATAAATCTGGCCTAAGGGAGATGTTAAAAAAAGTATTTGGTATAAAATTAAAAGAAGAGTTCAGAAAGATTTACTGTCATGAGTCCTTACCTATAACTACAGAATGAACTCTTCCTAACTCTATGTATACTACGCCTCGGCTTGACGGTCGGACTCTCTGCCACTGACGGTCGAACTCTCTGCAGAGAGGAACCCGGTCGAACCTCCTTCTAGATACCGAATCAAGCCGAGCTTCTCGGCTTGACGGTCGAACTCTCTGCCTCTGAGCAGAGAGGAACCCGGACGAGGTTCCGCCGAAGGGCAGAGTCTCGTTCGTAGAGGTGGACCAACCCGATCCCGTTTATACGGGTTCTACGGGCATTTTTTGGCCGAGCCTACGGGCTCAGGAAACCCACGTTAAACTTGGCCTTCTGCCATATGCAACCGTCGTGGTGGGGTGGCTAGATACCGAATCGAGTCGAGCCGTTTCGGCTCGACGTTCGAACTCTCTGCCTCCGAGCAGAGAGGAGCCCGGACGAGGCTCCGCCGAAGGGTAGAGCCTCTTTCGGGGAGGTTGACCAACCCGATTCTGTTTTTAGAGTTTCTTTGGGCATTTTTTAGCCGAACCTACGGGCTCGGGAAACCCACGTTAAACTCGGCCTTGTGCCATATGCAACCCTCGTGGGGAGTGTGGCTAGATACCGAATCAAGCCGAGAAACTCGGCTTGACGGTCAAACTCTCTGCCTCTGAGCAGAGAGGAACCAGGACGAGGCTCCGCCGAAGGGCAGAATCTCATTCGGGGAGGTTGACCAACCCGATCCCGTTTATACGGGTTCTACGGACATTTTTTGGCCGAGCCTACGGGCTCGGGAAACCCATGTTAAACTCGGCCTTGTGCCACATGCAACCCTCGTGGGGGGCAAGTAAATATCGAATCGAGTCGAGCCGATAGTAGTTCACTCCAAACCAGACTGACAGTCATACTAACACCTTCCACATCTTGTATTATTATTTCGTGTTTTATACCTTCGTTATTTTTACTCTTGTGTTCGTGTTGTTCTTTCTTGGTCCTAAGCTAGACCATAGCATTTACTAAAATTACTAAAAATGTATATATATAGAAAGGAACTATCTTAAACTTTGTCTTAAACTTTACAATATTTATAAATAATTTCCACGTAATAGAAGATTATGGATCTAACCAAGAATAGTGGTTAAAGTTGAAATCTTAATAAAATATGGGGTGTGAGGTGTGAAAGGAAGAGAAGGTTGGAGGAAATGAAGATTCCGATGATAAAGACAGCTCGAAAGATCAAGATTAAAATACTGAAAGAAGCACCCACGCAATAGTTTGTTTAAAACTGTGGTGGTTCTAGGGAAAATGCTATCTGGATAGAAATTTTTCCTTGTATTTGGAACAATGGGAAAATAGGGGTGATTTGACTCTGTGGATGTTGTATGGCGTGTCATGGCAATAGAGATCTGCACCGATAAGTCTAGAGAATGGAGCTAACCTGAATAGGTAAGTAGAATGGAGCTAATCTAACTACGCAAGTAGAAAGAAAGTTGACGCATGCGTGACCGTTGTATCTAGGGGAAAGATGTTAAAATGGGGAAAATGTTCCTCCTCTGCCGGACTTGAAAAACGTGAAATATTTCAGCTTTTTTTTAGCAATGCATTTTATGTAGGAATTTAACAGGATTATAAAATATTACCACTAACAAAATTTTTGAAAGTTCCAATGGTCACCGTATCAGATTTTTAGGAAATTTACTTATGTAGTACCTTATGAGAAACGAAAAAAAAAACAAACTATAAAACTTAGCTTTCTTAGCCCGTTGGGAAATATTTTGATTTCAAAATAGCACCATTTGCCAGATTAGGCAATTCAACCTCTGTATTCTAAGAGGATACTAAAATGTTGTATGGTGAACCTATATTCAAATACATGACTAAAATAGTTATCGTATAATTTTATATTTAGTCTATGGATGTTCGTATTTATTAGTCGATAAAGTGGGAATGATTACTATTGAACTTTATTTAAAGTTATTTATAATCATTTGATGCTCGTCGTGAAAAAAACACTGAATATATTAGTTTTACATAACCATAAAATTCTTGTATTGAAACCTAATTCATAAAGAAACGGGACACTTTGACGACATGTATTGGTTAACAATCTTGTGTCGCTAACTCAATTATGAGAGTTCAATGCTCACTGGTAGACCCATACTTCCGGCCTTGTGCCATATCTGCAAAGTTTTGGTATCACCTTTGGGAACTTGGAGTAAGGGTTAGCAAGCTTGTCTCGCTAGATTAATCACGACTGAAAAGTGAATTCTATCCTCTACCGGGTGTCGCATACTTTCGACCTCGTGCCGCAGCTAAGCTACAAATAGAAATCATTTTTGGGCACTTCGACATGGTGTAATGGTGAGAAGGCTAGTCTTACAAGAGCAATTACGATTGTGTAGTGAGTTCAATTTTCACATTGTGTGACATACTTTCGGCATTGTGTTACATTTAAGCTACACATATATAATCAACGTGCAACTCGATGTGCTGGCTTATCTCGCTAGATCAATTACGACTTGATAGTGAGTTCGACCATAATTATCTACCCCATACTTCCGTCCCTGTGACACATCTAAGCTAAGCTTAGAAAGTAACCATAAGGATGGAAAAAAAAAGGTGATCGTTTTTATCAGCTTTGCCATTGTCTCACGTAATGTAATAAAATTTTTTCTGAAAAAAAAAATTGAATATATTTTTTGCTCACTACCGTAAGGAAGCACGTTGTCGTAATGGATAGCGGCTCGGAATGAGGAAGCGTTAGAGCCGAGTTCGAATTCCAGTCGAATCCGTTGTATTCACTTACGTGCTAAAAGGACTCATACCCTTGGGAAAGATAGGAATCCTTTTCTCCCAACAGCTATGGGTAAATAGCAGGACAGAACTACTGCAGGAAGAAATGGCAACCCACTGCGGGAAAAAATCTGCTTCGTCAGTCATGTATCGAAAGATACATGATTGCCTAAGCTTGCATCATGCGTGGCACATAACTGATTATCACTTAGTAGAACCGAAATATATTTTAGATTATATGAATAATTGTTTTTGGCGAGTTAATATTGTATTAAATGTTTGTTGAGAATAACAATGATTTGTCCCGATAGAAGTTGTACTAGTAAACCCATAGTCAATGGGGGCGATGATTTCATACATATTCTATGTATGTTGGTGCGTAAGAAAATATAATGAATCTGAGTTGAATTTGAACACTGCTCAACGATTTCGCATTCCGTGATGCTATCCATTAAAACCCCAACATGCTTGTAAATAAATAAAAAAAAAAAAACTCATGGAAATGAGATAAAATATAATATTTTCTATTGTCAACTTACTACAATTGACGGAAATCTTGTCTACATTTCAATAGACCTCACTATTGCTAACTTAGCTTTAGTTTCTTCTCTTAAACACTTGAAAGGACCTCTTCGCCGACGTATCTCTTTGGCATTCGAAAAATCATCTTCTTAGTAGAACTTTTACAGCAACAGATTCCGTATCTGCTCTTGACTTAAAAGTAATTATTTATGAGTTGAACATTGTTTTACTATCTGAACTAGAGACATGTTTGTCTTGTAAGTAAACTTTTTATCGTTCTTTCCCTCGGTACAAAAAGTAATATTTTGCACATAGGTTTTTTATCTATAAATTATTTGAGCCTATTTGTAAATAAAGTTTTTTTTTTTCTTCAAATTAAGATTCAGTTAAAACGCGTCATCTATGTGTTCTCTTCATTTTGGATAAAAACTGGCAGTTTTTCTTCATCCAAAAAAAAAAAAAAAAAAAGAAATTAATAAGAATAGACATCAAATATCTACTGAATTTATTCATCGTCTTCGCTAAATTACGATTCAATTTTCGCAAAGCTGATGCGTGCAGATCTAAAAAATATATATATTGGAAATTAATGCTATAACCAGGCTTTACAACTAACTTCATGAAAGAAAATCAATTCATCCAAAGCAAGGCGATAATAGCACTAAGACGCAAGGGGTTACAGGTAGTAAAAGTGAAAGAGAATGAGAATACTTGACATTGGGAAGGATTGAGGAAAGGACAACAACGGGTTCAAGAAGATGGTGATTGATGTTGCATTTATTTTTTGAGAAATTGAAGTCATCAGTATCTAGCCCCCCCCCCTCACGAGAGTTGCATGTGGCACAAGGCCGAGTTTATCGTGGGATTCCCGAGCCCGTAGGCTCGGCCAAAAAATGCCCGTATAACCCGTATAAACGAGATCGGGTTGGTCATTTCTCCCCGAACGAGATTCTGCCCTTCGACGGAACCTCGTCCGGGTTCCTTTCTGCTCAAAAGCAGAGAGTTCGACCGTCAAGTCGAGAAGCTCGGCTTGATTCGGTATCTAGAAGGAGGTTCAACCGGGTTCCTCTCTGCAGAGAGCTCGACCGTCAGAGGCAGAGAGTTCGACCGTCAAGCCGAGGCGTAGTATACATAGTGTTAGGAAGTGTTCATCAGGTAAGCAAGGAATTGAAAGGAGTTCCGCAAGTGGCAAGTGCGAGAAAAGAAACTATTAGAGTAGAATTTTTTTTTTTAAGCATTATGCCCCGAGCAAGGCGTGAGACCACTAGGATGCAGGGGGTTGCGGAAGATTTGGAGCAAGAGCAGATAGGAGTGATAGAAGAAAGGATGAAGAGAAGGACAGTGGATGGATCAATGCAACTGGAGATGTCGATTGACATTACATTTGAATAGTTGGAGATTATAGCTTTCAGGGAAACAGTAATTGGGAAGGATGTTCCACAGACGAGAAGTGCGAGGTATGAAGCTATTGCAGTAGAAGAGACGGCTACATTTAAAAAAAATTCTATAGTGTAAGGGTTAGGAGCGCGATGCCAGCCTCGTAGGGCGCTTGAATTCATATGGCGGATGCATCTTGCTAGTTCAACAATAAACCCTCGAGGCATAATTGACAATGAAGTAGAACGTTAATAGTCAGAAGCCACGTCACGTTGGTGAGAAACTGACTAATGTCGAGAATACCTGGTTAGGATCAATTACATCACAAACCATACTTTGGATTTTTATAAGGATCACGAGATATATAGCGGTCTAACTTAATAACCCTCCTATCGTTTAAGTTCTCTCCCGCATAGTGCTCTCGATTGGGCATTTGGCTTGTTCAGGATTTTGAGAGTCCCTAAGTCTTTGCATATTCTCAGCATTGGAAACCCTGCTGGCTGCCATTTCATCTGGCTTTTCATTTGCACGGTACTTTCTTTTCGTCGCTGCAGACTTGGCTCTTTCGATTGCAATCTGGACTTCTGTTGGCGGAGATTTCTTTTTGCGAGGTGTAATGATGCTGTATGCGATAAACAACAATAAACTACAAAACTCAAAATTGACCGCTGCATTTAAACATTACATCAATATTTACCGTTAGCTTTTAAAAGTTCAACGATAATTCTTCAGCTGCCAATTAATTTAAAGAAAATCTGATGTACTTAGGTCCTTATTTTTCGTACAAACAATTATTTTCATTTCCTGGGTGACTTTCGCTTTCTTGCCTGAAAATTTGGTTTTCATCACACTCGGTTACATCTTTTGGGTATCCTCTGCACTGTCCTCGGATTGACCCCCTGTCATATTCGTAAACCTTTCGAATCTGTCATATTCTGTCATATTCGTATTGAACCTTTCGGTGCGAATGACAAGATGTATGCTATTTTGGGTATCCTCTGCACTGTCCTCGGATTGACCCCCAAAAGAATATTCGTATTGAACCTTTCGAATGACAAAGAATCTGTCATATTCGTATTGAACCTTTCGGTGCGAATGACAAGATGTATGCTATTTTGGGTATCCTCTGCACTGTCCTCGGATTGACCCCCAAAGAATCTGTCATATTCGTATTGAACCTTTCGGTGCGAATGACAAGATGTATGCTATTTTGGGTATCCTCTGCACTGTCCTCGGATTGACCCCCAAAGAATCTGTCATATTCGTATTGAAAGAATCTGTCATATTTTGGGTATTGAACCTTTCGGTTGCGAATGACAAGATTGAACCTATGGTGCGAATTTGGGTATCCTTTGGGTATCCTCTGCACTGTCCTCGGATTGACCCCCAAGAATCTGTCATATTCGTCCTTTCGAATGACAAGATTGATCCCTCTGAATCTGTCATATTCGTATTGAACCTTTCGGTGCGAATGACAAGATGTATGCTATTTTGGGTATCCTCTGCACTGTCCTCAGATTGACCCCAAAGAATCTGTATGTCATATTCGTATTGAACCTTTCGGTGCGAATGACAAGATGTATGCTATTTTGGGTATCCTCTGCACTGTCCTCGGATTGACCCCCAAAGAATCTGTCATATTCATTGATTTCGTGCGAATGAACCTATTTTTGGGTATCCTGACAAGCTGTATGCTATTTTTGCTCAAATGTTCTATTTTGGGTATCCTCTGCACTGTCCTCAGATTGAAAAGAATCTGTCATATTCGTATTGAACCTTTCGGTGCAATGAAAGCTGCATGCTATTTTGGGTATCCTCTCTGCACTGTCCTCAGATTACCCCCCAAATATTTATATTCATGAAAAAACTGCAAGAATAAGCCAGCAATTTTGGAGACGTCTAAGATTATGGTGCGAATGACAAGCTGTATATTTTGTAAATCCTCTATTTAATTGACCCCAAAGACATTTCTTTCCGAATGACAAGATGTTTGTTTCTGCACTGTCCTCAGATTATAAAGAGACATATTCGTATTGAACCTTTCGGTGCGAATGAAAGCATTTTGGGTATCCCTTGTCAGATTTGTTTGAATTCGTAAATTTCGTTGAATGACAAGATGTATGCTATTTTGGGTATCCTCTCACTTCCTCAAAAGAATCTGTCATATTCTGATTCAGTCCGTATCTGGTATACCAATGAAAATCTGTCATATTCGTATTGAACCTTTCTGTGCGAATGACCAACAAGTATGCACTTTTGGGTATCCTGGCACTGTCCTAATTGACCCCCCAAAGATTTTAATTCATTTGAACCTTTCGGTGCGATGCTAATATTTTGGTATCCTCTGCATTCCTCGGAAATTTATACTAAGATTAAATAAATGATGAATAGCCAGACATTTCATGTTGTTTGTATATTCGTAGAGAAACTTTCGGTGCGGATGAAAAATAGAGAAGGATTGGAGATCCTGTCATATCCTCGGAAATGAACCTTTCGGAAGAAACAGAGATAAGGTTTGGGTATCCTCTGAGATAGATAGAATGACAAGATATTTTGGGTATCCTCTCATAGTATTGATTTCGGTGAATGACAAGCTAGAGAGATAGATTGAACCTCTGCGAGACAGATGAGAGAGAGTCATATTCATTAGAGGTGCAGAATGACAAGATGAGTTTTGGGTATCCTCTGACTATCCTCGGATTGAGCCCCAAAGAGATATTCATAAACCTTTCGGTGCGAATGAGATGAAATTTTGGATCCTCTGCACTGTCCTCGTAAAATGTCATATTCATGAAATTTTCGGACAAGATGTATGCTAATAAGAAAAGAGATAAGAGAGTAGAGAGAGAGAGAGAGAAGGAAAGAGAAGATAAACCTTTCGGAGAGAATGACAAGATTGCTATTTTTTGCTCAAATTTCTAATAGAGAGATGTCTTCAAAACTACGCCTGAAAAAAATATTTATATGAAAAAACTGCAGAATAAGCCAGCAAATTGAGACGTCTAAGGATAAAATATTGAAACATTTCTGCCTGAAGGTTTGTTTCGGAGAGAATATAATTAGACATAATCACATATAGTAAGATTAGTGAAAGACCGAAATTGTTGATAAGATTCTCAAGAGATCTGAAAGAAAAGATACAACAAGACTAAGTCATGGGTTAATTGGAACATTTGAGAGAGAATTTATAGAAGAGAATAAATGATGAATAGCCAGACATTTCATGAGTTTGAGAGAGAGAAAGAGAAAAAATAGAAAGAGAGAGAGACAGACAGACAGAAAGACAGACAGAGATAGATAGATAGATATATTTAGCCGGATGTTACCCATATGCAGAGAGAAAATGGAAAAGTGGGAAAGCGATAATTAGTAAAAAAAAAGAGAGATAGGAAAATAGATAAAAAAATATGTCTTTACTGATACAAGAAAAATGAAAGAATTAGTGAAAGAAAGAAGAGAAAAGAAAGAAAGAGAGAAGAAAACAAGAGAAAGAAAGAATGAAGAGAGACAGAAAGACAGACAGAAACAAGAATATTTAGAAAGAAAGAAAAAATGAAATTAGTAAAAGAAAACAAGATAGGAAAATAGATAAAAAAGGAATATACTTCAAGAAAGAAAGAATGAAAGAAAGAGAGAAAGAAAGAAAGAGAGAAGAAAACAAGAAAGAAAGAATGAAAGAGAGAGAGACAGAAAACAAGAAAGAAAGAAAGAAAAAGAGAAGAAAACAAGAAAGAAAGAAAGAAAGAAAGAAAGAGAGACAGAAAACAAGAAAGTAAGACAGAAAGAAAGAAAGAAAGAGAGACAGAAAACAAGAAAGTAAGAAAGAAAGAAAGAGAGACAGAAAAAAAGAAAGTAAGAAAAAGAAAGAAAGAAAGAAAGAAAGAAAGAGAGACAGAAAACAAGAAAGTAAGAAAGAAAGAAAGAGAGACACAAAACAAGAAAGTAAGAAAGAAAGAAAGAAAGAAAGAAAGAAAAAAAGAAAGAAAGAATATGGATTCAATAAATATGTTACCTATGCAAAAAATCAAATGAGAGAGAAATGTAGAAAGAAAGAAAATTACAGGAAGAGAGATAGGAAAAGAAAGACAGAAGGTAGATTTGCCTCTAACCCGCTGCCTTGTATGAAGATCATCATGCAGGTTATTCATGCATCGCTCTTATCAACAGTTGTAGCTCAACTGTTGCAACTACGCTAGTAGAGTAAAACTCACTCAGTCACACGCATCTATATGTATGACCCTATTCAAATAGATAAAGCTAATAGGTAGATTTAGCGTCTTATTGGGCTTCGTTTGGTATCGAATTAGTCAATTTATCGCAGGTGGAAATTGTGAACGAGCTTGTCGAATAAAATACTGAGGTCAATGTAGGTTCGGCCATCTTTATGAAAGAAGATTAAAAGTACAAATACAGCCGCTACGGCGTTTGTATTGTTGTCAGTTCAAACTTTTGAAATGAACGAGAATTCACATGCGGAAGAAACAGTATTTAGCGCCAGGTGGCAAATATGACTGCCAATTGAATGTACCTATTGTAGCATATATTAAAGATTTTAGGTTTTGGTTAATGAATAATGAACAGGCTGATAGCTATATGTATTGACAATATCTATATAAATAAAGCGCAGTGTACATGTGCCCGTCAGTTTTTCGATCTTGGCGAATCATAAACAATCTGAAGTAACAGGTAGTAACTACTATAGTTACACGTGATTAAAAAATTAAATAACACAATTAAAGTTAAATTTAAATAGCGAACGGGGTGAAAGGTTTAAAAAAAACAATTCTTTATCAAAACTTTAACTTTAATTTCGCTTTTCGTCGCAATTGCAATTGATATTGTCTAATTAAATTAAATTAAAATTGATTAAGACTTATGCAGTACACAGTATATTGCTCGTATGCCATTTTCTATTCTAGCAAGTGTACTGTGGAGTATTTGAAATATTATGTTGTTCGGGTTCCCTAATGTCTTTTAAGTGTTACTTTATATGAAGGGATCATAAAGAATGGTGATTTTAAAAGAAAATATAAATTGCGCACAAAATAAAAACAAACTACGGAAATCGGTTGCGTATACGAAGAAAGATTGTGCAAAATTAAGGTAGCGAATAAAATAACTTTATTATTTCTAAATTCTTATAACTTTTACGTACTTAGGACGCCGAATATAAAAAAGCCGAAGGCTCAAAAGTCTTGCGCGTGAGCTAGCCAAAATCCGCCCGAATGGCGACTTCTCGGCAAATTTTACTTATCTTTACAATTCAAAATAGACACATTTTGCTTTCTCCTTAAGCCCTTTATATCTTCTCGTGCTTAAGTCCATCTTCTCTTCATTCAAATTGTACCAAGACTCCATGTTTGTTTAACGGCATACCAACTCCTCATTGGTCTTTCATGCCGAAATTTAATTTTCTTTGGAAGTTTGATTGTTTTTTTTCTTTTTACAAAAATATATTGGTGCTAATTTTTTCTTTAACCAAAATTTGATGCTGCCATTAAAGGTCAAAAAGGAATCTGGAAAAGACAGCAATTAACAGGTTTTTCCACGCTCCTCAAAACCTCCAGATCAGAGGTCTACCTGCTGGATGTAGTTTATCGCCATACCCCAGACTAACCAAAACGTCATAAAAGCTTTTTTCATGTCCGGTTCATTTGAGTATGAGATATATAAACCATCATTTTCCGTCTTAGGCCCTATCGCAAAATCAATGCTTGTTGGAGGCCACATTGACTCGTCAAAAAATCAACAGAAATGCCCTGTGTCAAAGTGGTCCTGTGTGCAGAAGCTACCTTAATGAACGAAAGAATAGCAACTCCCAAATATGGCTGAAAACCAGGACCACATTTTCTGGCAAACTCTGATATTCCTTTTTACTCCTTCTTCAATGAACACTAAGGGCAATTCGAAATAACAACAGCTCAAACCATGATATTATCTGGTTTCCTGTGTATGAAATTAACTGATGTGTTTTCCGATGAAGCACCAAAAACCCTATCATTTTGGTAATGCATATGAAAACAGCGGAACCAAAAATTAGATACGGAAAATTTTTAGTTTCGATCGATTGTTATCAGTAAGTGAAGTCAACTTTAAAGTAAAGAAAAAGAACCTCAGACAGAGAAATCCACGGATGTAAGGTAAAATACTTTTAGACGAAGATGAAAAGATAAAGAAAATTGACGATCCCGCGAAAAGGCACACAGACCGGACGATATGAGATTGCAGTCCTTAAGCATCGCTGTACCATGTGCATTGATGTCTAAATGGACTATATTGAAAAATAGTGAACAACTGTTTTCTTTTTTCTATTCCGGGTGAGGCTTAGAACTTTTTGAACGACCCTCGTACATCTTTCATTTTATGTTCCTCTCTCTTTAATTACTTCTTTGTCTTTCTGTAGTCTTCTTTACCTTCAAGTATCTTTCTTTTAGACGCTTTATTGCTATCGTTCCATCATTTGCTTATTTATCTAAAATACCTTTATCGCTTTAATCTGTCTTCGAAGCGTTAAATGGGCTGGGATTCTACCCATGAAACACAACTTTTGAATCTCACTATGATTGATCAATGAGTTAAGGCGTTGTCTGGGGAGACGATCTCAGCGAAACGTCACCGTGGGGAAGTACCTAAAAGAGACTAGATCATCAGTTGAACTGATCGATGTTGATTGGATGCCTTCGATGATAGTACACGTACTCAGTCACATGTTTCCTTGTAATGAGCAGATGCAAATTCATCAGATTTAGATGGCAATAGCTACCTGGTCATTCGTGAGGAGGTATCAGTCTAAAAGGACTCACAATAAAAAAGAAAAAATCACGTGATTTCGCACAAAATAATAATGTTTAATTTCTTCTTCTTCTCTGACGTCTTCTTCTCTGACTTTTTCTTTTCTGACTTCTTCTTCTTCTCTGACTTATTCTTCTCCATTTTCTCTGTTTCTCCGTCTACCTTTTCTCTACTTCTACTCTACAGCACTTTCTTCTTCTCCTTCTTCATCTTCTCATTATTATTATTATTATTATTATTATTATTATAATCAACTCTTTATTCTCTTGCTTACTTTTCTTCTTTTTCCCTATTTCCACTTCACCCTACTCTATTTTTCTACGTCTATCCTACAACAACAACAACAACAACAACAACAACAACTTCTTCTTCTTCTTCTTCTTCTTCTTCTTCACATTTTTCCTACCTCTCTCCGCCTGATTCCAGAAAGTTCATAGTTGCAAATGATATCTTCTCAAAGGCTAAAATCGTTCACCAAAGTGCCACATTCTTCTAAGGTGTTCTTTTTACGCTAAATAACCCCGTTAAATGCAATAAAATATTTAAAAACGATAATCAAGTCAAATTTGAAGCTGGTTTTATTTCAATATATTTTTTAAATATTTCCTCCTTTAACATTGCTGCCAAAATTAAATACATTACTTAAAAAAATACATTTACTTCCAATTCTTATGCCCTCATTTTCTTCAAACCTCTTTGATTTTTGTCTTTTCGTATATTTGTTTCCTGCGTTACCGTTCTTCTGTTATTTTCTTCTGTAAACGTCTCTTTTCAATCGCTGCTCCTGATTTACTATAGTATTTTTGTGCCACGTCCATTCAGGATGTAGGCAATCTGGGCCTTCCACAT